GGCTTTGAAGCCGTGGTCTATCGGAATTTCTTCCTGACGTTTCGTCCACAACTGCGGTGGACATTTTCAAAGGCGATGAGGCAGTGGGCGAAGTTTTCTCCCGTGCTTTCCGACTAAGACTCTATTCCGATTAAGACAGTCTTAGTCGCCTTTGAAAATGTCCACCGCAGTTGTGGACGAAATTTCAGGAAGAAATTCCGATCGACCACGGCTTCAAAGCCCGGAAAACATTCCCAAATGTAATTTGACCGGCCTTGAAAGCCTTCATAATCTGATAAAACCTGTTGAAAACTGGGGTTTCTTCACTTTCATGCCAATATTTCTAAACAACACTGCCTCTAAAACCTCGTTTTTCCTAACGTTTCACTGCAAAATTCTGGCAAACTGAATCTTTTATGCAAAAAAATGAAGATATTGATTTTACAAGAAAACTCGTCGACTTTTATTGGACTTAGTCCGGTTGCTGGGAAAATCTAGATGACTTTTTTTAGTTGTTTGAACAAAGTTGTAAAACGTTACTCAGAAAAAATGTTGATGAGCTTCTTTTAGATGTGAAAATTCCAGTCTCGGGTCTCGTAAAGCTTGAATAAATGACTTATAACTCATTAACTGATGAGTTATTACTCGTTAACTCAGCGAGCGAAAACAACTCAATAGCGCAACTCAACACAGTGTTACCCAGGCCTAGTTGCTTGCAAACGTTCATGCTTTGAAAACAAACACAAGACAATATTATCTAATATTAAAAAAATATATTAAAATTTAATACATTTAGACTTCTCTTTGAAATACTGTTGGTAACAGTAAACAGACCAACATCAATAACATCCAGCTCGATCCCATTCTACTACCCGCATTTCCACTGTCTTCATCATTGTCCTCAACAGTACTATTTTGAACCCGAATCCTTCCTTGAATTTCCGGGTAGATCGGAGTGTATTTCGTGATATAATTGGCTGTAGCATCCAAATCTCCCAAGTCCATGACCCGTTTGTTCAAATACTTGTCGCTGAGCACCGTAATTCCATCTCCGCCGTCTGCCAGGAAACTCGAAGTTACTAACGTATAATTCTGATCCGAAACGACTGTTTCGTATACTGGAACGTCGCAGATGCCGCATCTGGCTTTGAGAGAAAGCACTCGCGAATACGGCTCTCGATTCATGTCCACAACTAGTCTTAAACCGGAGACCTGCGGAAACTCCCCAGAGGAAGTCTCGCCTTGACTTCTGACCATTTGCTCTATAGCCTGCAGTAGATCTGATCCTTTAAGAGTCAATTCGACCACTTGGTTGCCGAATGGAAGAACCGCAATAAGATCTCCTCTAGAAACTGCTCCAGTTTCCCCCTGGGGAGTGATGCTGTTTCTGATGCCTCCTCCATTGTACAGCCCAATGGGCACGCTACTCCATCTATCAGTGGATTCTGATGTCGCATAAGACACTAGGGCATCAGCAACAAGGTTTCCAAGATTGCACTCTTGGTGTCTGCAATTCCAGTTGTCTCCATCAAGAAACACTCTTGAGTAGCCGATTATTTCTTCATTCAAGGCGTCAATGGCAGGCCTATAGACGTCCAACAACTGTAGCAGGTCTGCTTCTTGAGGAATGCTTGTGCTCATTAACAGTGGCTGCCCAGCAAACGCAGTGAGGTCTCCATTTGAGTCAAATGAACAGTTCAAAACCCCCAAGTACTTCGTGTAGGCATAGGCCTGGACCACTGGAACTTGCTTTCCAGATTCTTGTGTTATCACCTTCGGGTAGAGATCTTGGATGAGCTCAGAATCTGGCTGAGCGCCATTCCAGAGGAATGTGTTCGTATGGCCTCCCACCACTATATCCACCAGTTCCACTTCCCTGGCAATCGTTTGATCCATGTTGTATCCAGAATGTCCAAGCGCTATGATGATATTGACGCCCTGAGCTGCAAGCGCTTCAGCTTCTCTTCGTACTGCTGGCACTTCGTCTTCGAATGTAACTTTGCCCACTTGGGAGACCTTGATGGTCTCTGGGGTGAGGTAGCCGATGATCCCCACTTGTCTGCCTGATAATTGCACGATGGTGGAACCGTTGACTTTACCAGCCAAAGTGGGCTCTTGGGAGAAGTTCAAGTTGGCTGCTAGCACGGGAGCGTCCAGATTGCTTATGAAAGGAGCTAGGGCCTTTTCGGTTAGGTCAAACTCGTGGTTTCCCAAACTCTGGAAAATATTGAAAGGGTTTTAGTTGGTAGGTTTAATGAAAAAAAGCTCGCTTCTTGCTCTGTATTCGAAGTTAGGAATTTTTTGAAGTGATAACTCTTTATGGGAGGGGGGGCTCCCACTCCGGCCTCTTCCCGCCTGAGGCCTGAGGCTTGGGACGCACATATGCACTTTGAATTCGACATTTTTCTCTTAGTGCGGGTGCATCTGTAGATCTGATAAACTTTTCAAATTACATTGTGTTATTAAACTGACAGTGATTTTTATTTATCAATTATTGAGTGTGATATTAGTGTGTTCGGTGCAGTTTATTTTATAACGCTGATAACAATGAATCAACAAATTATTAAGGGAGAAGCTGCAGATACTGCAAATACTAGGTAAAGGGTGCTCATGTACTAAATGCCTGTTTTCAGGCAAAAACACACTAAAGCAGTTTAAGTGCAAAAAAATGCAGATGGTTCCATCAATTTGCAGAAAAATGTATTACAAACTTTTGAAAATCATCTTCAAACGACCGGGTATTTATCATTGCAAATGAGATTGCACATTGCCGTG